GCTCCTGGGCGGCAGCGCCGCGATGCCGGGCGCGTCCCTGCAGCGGGCCTGCCGCCTGCTCGTGGCCGTCTGCGCGCTGCACCTTGGCGTCACATTCTTCTACTATCTGGCTGGCCGCGACCTGATCCGTCTGCCCCAGCTGGTCGGAGTCCCCACACCACTGCAGGGCAGCGCAAACGGTGCTGCCGCCGTCGAGCAGCCCTCCGGGGAGCTCCGGCCTGGAGGGCCCCGGCTGCAGGCTTCTGTAGGCGCCTCCTCCAGCCCTGATGCGGATGCTGGCCCCCGCCCCGAGAGCAACTTGACTTCGGTACCAGTGCCCCCCACCAGAGCACTGTCGCTGGCCTCTTGCCCTGAGGAGTCACCGCTGCTCGGTAAGGACTCTGGTCGGCGCTAGTCCGAGGACTGGGACTCCCGCCGTATTTCCCGAGAAGAAAATTTCCTCGGACAGGGACCCTCCTGCCCTCTGCCAGGACAGCCAGCCTCCCTATTTCTGATTAGGGCTCTAATTGTAAGCGTTGGCTTGGGGCTGGTTGGGGGCGAGAAGTTCGGAGGTGGGTCTGAAGTCGTGTTGGAAGCTGTGGCCAGGATCTTATAGGGAAACCCGCCTGCCTCCTGACCCAGAATCAGAGAAGGCCTTGGAGACTTCCCTGCTCTGGCCCGAGTCTCAGGAAGTTTTGGAGTTTGGATATCCTTAGGGTTTGGAGCAACCTTGCCCTGCTAACTCCGCTAGGAATCTAGAAACAACCCAGAATGACTCCAGTTTGGAGGATCGACTAGGAGGCCTCCAGTGGGGAAGAAAGTTGACCTCTTGGTTCACTGTCGTCACATGGAGCGACTCCGTTCAGAACGGGTTGACTTTTCTGCCTTTGGGCAAGTGAAATAACTTCTTCCTAAACCTCCAGTTTCTCTTTTGGCAAATGAAGATAAGGGTATCTATTTCAAGGGATGGTTTTGGAATATTAAATGAAACAATGTAAATAAGAATTTAATTCATGAGTGTAAACCCTCAGTAAATTGTCACCATTGTGCTCATTTCCTCCTCTGGGGAGTTCCCTGGCCTGGGGCCCTCCTCCCAGTTTCCTCCCACTTTAGGTTCCCAAAACCGAGTGAGTAGGAACTTAGAGCGCGCTGGTACGGTGGAGGTTGGAGGACTCAAATATAGCCAGTTAGCAAAGAGTTGCCCCAAATGGTAGCAGCTGGAGTCTCAGTTTTCTTGTCAGTTGATCTGAACCCCTGCCTCCAGCCTGTTTCAGCATAGGCAAGGGGAGCTTTGGGAGATGGGTTTGCCTTCTTCATGACAGGAGGGAGTTGGGCACAGCCTGGAGCTCTCCTTGACCTGTTACTCATAGATCTGCAGGCCCAAGGCAGCTTTCAGGGTTACCAGACAGGTGGCTGCTCATTTTAATGCCAGGTTTTAGAGACTGCTGTTCTGAGTGAGGGGCCCAGGCAGGCATATTGCCATAGGAGCTCGGTCACTTTCCTGCAAAGCACTGGCTGAACAGGCCTTCCTACATACTCTTGCTCAATTTCTTTAGTAATTACCTCAGTCTTCATATCAAGTTTGGGAGGAACCTCTTGGGATTAGTCAGACATGAATTGTGGTAAAGAGGGGATTTTTTTGTTTTTAAAGGAGAAAATTAAATTCATTTGTATTTGGTTAATCTGGGAAGTAGACACTGCAAAATAAAGTAGAATCTGCACTGTTGCTAAACATCTGACTTCAGGCACAATATAGAGTTTCTTTCTCATGTATAAAGTGGGTTGGTAATACTTTACAGGGTTCTTTTTAGGACTAGATGAAATTGCACTAAACACATGGCACATAGTAGGTACTCAGTACATAGCAAAAAAATCCCACAATACTCTAGTAAAAGTATTTACTTGGGACCTTGAAGTTCCATTTTCTGAATCCCACGGAGGTGGCTCTGAACAGCAGAGGAAAGAGGGAAGAGGCCCCATCACTGCAAGGCCAGGGTTTCTTTGCTTTTGTTTTTAATTATTGCCTGAACGTAAAGCAGGGAAAGAAAGAAATTAATTAGCAAATGAAAGTACCCGAAAGTTGATTAGATTGGCGTTTGAGGTATTGAGGTATAGGGTCTTTTTGGAGTGTGAGAGACCTGGTAGTAATCATGGCTCTGCTTTGTTTTGTTTTGTAACAAGTGTCGCTAGTGATCAGCTTGTCACCAGTCACTGATGTTCTTAAACTGACTCTGCATTGGCTGCTTAAAAGAACTTCCTGAGAGATAATGTTTTTGAGGGTGCCGAGAGGGCTGTCTTTGGCTTGGCTGCCTTCATGTGACACACATGGGACCATGACGATTTGGCCTCTGCCCAGGCAACCCTAGAAATGAGGGTGGAGGCCTTTTTTTCATTTGAATTGAGTCCTTAGGCTTAAATGGTTGAGTGCAGCTCCTGGAGTAGTTTCCTGGCTAAGAGGGGCCTTGAGAAAGCTGAAAGTCTTCCTAGAGCGTGTGGGTGGCGGGAGTCGAGCCTGCCTGCTCATGGGCAGGTGTGAGCTGAAGCACTTGTGGGGTGGTTTTGAGGTTGGTGGGAGAAAGCATCCGTGGGGTTTAGAGTTGTGGCCTTTTCACTACTTGCAGTTTCTTTCCCCGACTTGGCTCTCTTTGCTGGTGTCCAGGGGTCTGGGCCAGATGCTGCAATCCCTCCCAACTAACAGATGGTGGGTTAAGGGCCAGCCGTTCCCTGGAGCAGGAGGCACCAGACTGCACTGCCCAGGGGTCACTGTTTGGTTTGTCTCTGGGCTGTCAGAGCCTGGGAAGAGACTTGAGGTAGACTTGGGCTGGGATCCTGCCTCTCTGTCTTTGCTGTCTGTGTGAGTGAGTGGAGCCACAGGAGGCCCTGCCCCTTGATAGTCCCTGGCCTAAGGCCTCCCTCCAGGAGTGAGTGCTGCAGTGGGAAGTGGACCTTTCTCCAGGTGTTCTAATAGTTTCCACAGGGAGTTCTTCCTGGTAGTTTCCGTCTGCAGGCACTGTCCTCTTGGTATTAACCCTGTGTAAGGCCCTGAGGGCCGTGTAGCATCCACTCCACTAACACCACCATGAGGCTTCGTTTTCTGGCCACCAGGGTATTTGCCTGAGATGGGAGGAGCAATGGCCTTTCATTTCTTTTCCTGGAATGTTTATCTCTACTTAGATTTGGCGGCAGCTCAGCGTTACTTGACCAGCTGTAGCACTGCCAGTCCAGAAAGGGGGCCAGGGGTGGGGGCTAGGCAGCACATCAGGCTGAACTACTTGGGGGAGGCAGGGCTGGCATTGGGGGTTCAGCTGGGACTGGGTGTGGTTGCTACAGTTCTCTTAGGGGGAGGGGGAGGGTGGTGAATATAAGATTGCCTTAATCCCAGAGAACCCTCTTGCCCAACTGTGTTTTGGGGCGATCCTCTTCATTTGTTCAAAAAGGAAGACTGATTTAGAGGTAGGCATGTGGGCCAGCAAACAGCACCCGCTAGTAGCTAGGGCCCCTGGAGAGTGCTTGTCCACGACCCAGGTTCCCTAGGTTTTACTGTGAAGTCAGCCGAGCCTCTGTCAGGATCTGCACGCTAGCACTTACTAGGCCTCTGCTGCACTCTCTGCTCTCAGGGTTCCCCTACCAGCATGCTGCCCCCCTCCCCATATGCACATATGTGGACACATGCAGACTGTCCAGGACAGAGTGTACTTTGAGGCTTGGCAAAGGGTTCTTTCTCATCCCTTTGGGGATGAGTCGTGGAGCCTCATCACCTTCTGGCTTGGGGCAGAGTTCTATCCAGGGGGTTGGGAGAAGCTCAGGAAGCCTCACTTAAATCCAAGTCCTGACACCTTAGGCTTAACCAGTCCTTTAAACCAGTATCTTTCTTTTTTTTACTATAAGGTGTGTTCACTTGCTGGAGAGAGTGACAGAGAGAAGGAAACAGGAATTTACCCCCCAAGGGGGAGGACTGTACTGCATTCCCTCCTCTATTCTCCCCTCAGGATTTGGGGGATGTATACGCATGTGCCTGGTGTGATTTTCAAAGTGCCAGGTCGGGGCTCGAACTGTGGAGTGGGCTATGAGGGAACCGTCCGTCCATTGTAACCTGTAACTAGTCCCAACTAGTTTTGTCTTGTTGTTGTTTTTCTGGGAATGGTAATTTCATGACATACACACAGATCCTCCTTGTCTCACTGTCTGAGATTGAGAAATAACTTCTGTGACTGGTTTACAAAGTGAAACTTGGTCTCTTTCTTCAACATGGCTGGTGGAAATGGTTCCTGCTTGTTGTAATTCATCCTGGACTCTGCGCAAGTACAAGAGTTCTTTCTTAGAGCTTTGAAGAACCAAGTGGAAAACTCTTGGGGTATGGGGAACAAGAGCCAGATGTGGGTTTGGACATAAATTTCAGCTTCTTGAAGCTGTAGCATCCCAGGACAGAACCATCCAATGCTGCTTGAGGTTACTGCCCAGAAGTCACCTCATGTAGAGACCCCAGTAGCCTGATGTGGCCTAGAGTTCGGGAAGAAGATCCCTGCAAAGTGTGTCTGTAGATCCAATCAAAAGGTCTTGGATTTATATTTTTGATGGCTAAAGCATCTGGTGATTTCTGATCATTTCATTTAGTTTTGACAATGTACCTGTTCTGTGCTAGGTGATAGAACTACACAGAAGACAAAATATCTCTATTTTTAGGAGTTCACACTTGAGATGGGAGGCATTATTAAACAGGGCTGATGACACTTAGGGAAACCAAAGTGAATATGTGTGTGTGTGTGTGTGTGTGTATGCTTTTCGTCCTCCCCATCATTCCTTCCTTACCTCCCTTTCATCTTTAAGAAAGCCAGAGTTGATATCAAAGTTTTGTAGTCCAGGATTTTTTTTTTTGATTGTGTGAAAATTTTTCTCTAATTTCAGAAGCATTGATTCTGCTGGGTAATCTTTAACCTGCTGCTTTATAATGATTCCAGTGAGTCTTCAACAGCCATATGGCTGGGTATTATGGTCTTCAGGAAGCAGCAGAGTAGGAAATTCCAGGCTGGGATGAGGCAAATTTATGGGTTGGGAATGATGGGGCAGTTAATGCCAGGGCTGTCTCAGCCCTTCTACAGTTTCCATCCTGAGGCCTGTTCAGACTTTGGTAGTAGGTCATCAGGCTCATCTGCTTTGGGCTCAGGTAGGCTATGGGTGTATGTGAAAGGAGCCCAGTGTTCTGTAGTCCAGCCTGGTCATTTCTTCACTGCTCAGTGATCCAGAGCCTCCTATGCCTTGTTCTCATTCCTTTGTTCCCTGTTCCTATCAAGAGGCAGAGACTGGAACTCTGCTTGAATCCACATGCACCTGGAATTTCCAGTTTTTCTTATCCAAAGGAGTGGCAATCCAGTTGTCTCAGGACAATGGTCTG